TGGGGCTCCCGCGCGGGTCTCCGGGGCCTGCTCCGTAGTCCCTATGCTGCGCTCCTTCCGGGCTGCGCGCGGGGAGTGCACGGCTCTGCTGTCCTCTGCAAGAACTGGCTCAAGAAATTTGCCTCGAAAACCAAGTAATGCGGCGGGGTTTGGTGTCCTCGGGCGGGTGTTCACTGGGGGGCGGTGTCCCCGGGTTGTGGTGTCCGCCCACCCGCGTTCTTGCGCCCACGCGGCTTGGGTCGCCAGTTCCTGACTCCTGGGGTCTGCAGCAGTTCAGCTCTCACTGTCAACATTCGCAGTTTTTCTGTTCGTGGACGTGTGTCGGGTTAAAAAAACAAAGTGACAATGTGTGTTTATTTTGATTCTTGTCACCGGACGTATTTCTCGGGAGATTAGTTTCAGGAAATGAGGAAAAATGAAAAAATATAAGAATTTCGTTGCTAATGTTGACTTTCTGTGTGGAGTTAATTTGAAGACTAAAGCTTGTCATGATGATTAGTATTTTTAAATGATGAAAGATGAGTACAATAAAATATAATGACTTTTCACGCTGCTTTTAGTTATAAGTATGGTAGATGGGTGTATGTTTTCTACTTTAATACACTACTTTTAAGACAGTTTTAGACCCTGCAGAAAAATTGCAAAAATAGTACCGAGATCATGTGTCCTGGCACCCAGCTCCCCCTGTATTAACGTCGGACTTTAGCTTCTCCAGTTAAAGAGCCGATATTGATTGATTGTTGCTAACTGAAGCGCGTACTTTATTCGCTTTTCCTTGGTTCTGCCTGCCGTCCCTTCCTGTCCCAGGTCCCCACCCAAGGTCCACGTTACATTGAATTGTCTTGTTTCCTTAGGCTGGAGTAGTGTGTCAGACTGTCCCTGTTTTTGATGGCTGTGCCAGTTTGGAGGGGTACTGGTCAGGTGCTTTGCAGGATGCCCCTCTGTTGGGATGTGCCTGTTTTTTTAATGCTTAGATGTGGATTATGGATTTTGGGGAGGAAGACTAGCGGTAAAGGCCATTCTCATCACACCGTATCCAGGGTCCACGTTGGCCGTGATCCCCTGCGTGAGGTGCTTGCCAGGTTTCTCTACCGTAAAGTTACTCTTTTTGCCCCCTTACTGTACTCTAGGAGAAAGTCGCTGTGTGCAGCCCATGCCTAAGGAGTGGGGAATTTTGTCCTAAGTGATTTGCATTCTGCAGAGAGGATGTGTCTCTTCACCCCATTTATTAATTCATTCATATCACCAAGAACTCGTGGGTTATAATCCTGTGTTACTTAGTTTTGTTCAAATGTTTCCAGCTCTGGCCCTTAGCAGCTCTCTAAGCTCCTATGTGCTGTTACCATACCCTTGTCATTATGGCATTTTGCTGGGTTTTTGTGTGTGTTAAACACTTTCCTGCTTTCTGGCACTACAAGATGCTCCAGGCTCATCTTGTGTGTTTCCTACCGCAGCCCTAAAATCAGCCATTTCTCCAAGGAGCCCTCGTTCCTTTTATTGGAGAGAGAGATTAGAAACCATGGGTGCTGGGTGTGTTCATTGCTTCTGGGGTGTCTGTCTTTAGGCCATCTCATCTGATGAAAGGATATATGTGTTCCTGTTCACCCTCGTGTAAATATGCACCTCTAAACATTTCTATGTATAACCATCTGTCTCCAACTCCAGAACGTACTGTGTGGATCATTCTAGCCTCCCCTCCTTGCTTATCTGTAAGTCCCACTCCAGTAGTGAGCGTGGCTGCCACCTTTCATTTGCTTAACTGTTCAGTCTCAGTCTGTGCCTGTGACAGCATCCGAATCCTTTACCTGAACTTCCATGGGAAACGTCTTTATCAATTAGAGTGGAGTGTTTCTGTGCAGTTTGGTAGGTGTCTTTCTCTCAAACCTTGGGACTAGAAGTAGAATTTAGGTGAAAATACGAGGTTGAATTAAAACCATCTTCAGCCTCTTCCCCACAACCCATGTTGTTACCAATTAAATACTGAAATTTTTTAAGATGGCCAGTAACGTAACGTCTAAGTTTAGCCCCTTACAAACAGTTATGGTATCATAACCTCTTAAATTAGCTTATGTAACTTTTTGACTTTGCCATCACTAACATAATGCTTATTTTCTCCCCAAAGAAAAAAGTTTTGGTATGAAGGTCCTTCCTTGGGCTCTCACTTGGTGAGTATAAGCCATGAGCCACTTTATAATCTTGATGGGAGTGAGGGTTTAGAAGTTGGCAAAATTCTTACCTGGAGGTCTTCCCGTTTCTGTATTGGAGGGGACAGTGTCTGTGTGGATGCGACTGGATGCCATTGGCAACATGGAGTTTTTACCTTTTCAAAAAAGAAATGTACCGACATTAATGTTCTCTGGAAAGTCATATTTTTTATCAAATTATAATATGGTAATATCCATTTAGTTTTTAATGTGTGTGTACCATAAAAGTTTATGCAATATATGGCTCCCATTCTGAAAAATAAACATATCACTTATACTAAAAATTACTGAATTATTCCCTTTAGCAGGGTGAACTTTATGGTATGTGAATTATCTCTCAACAAAAACTTTTTGAGAAAATATTTACTTGCAGTACTTTTAATCTTGGAGGGTTACCAGGTAAAAATCTAAAAGGATCCCGGTTTATCCAACTTTATCTTAATGAAAGCTGAGGCAGCTAAGAGTGATAGCTGGTCGTCCAGCTGAGAGGTTGCCCATCCAGCCCTCGTGAGTTGGTGAGTTTGGAGTTGTAACGCTGACCTTGGGGTGTGCTCTTCTTCTTGATGGAGACTTACAAACCATCCAAGTTGGAACTCCTCATGAAGACCACCTCAGAGAAAACCAGGAAGGAAGACCATGTGCGTGTGAGGGCCCTGAACGGTCTCCTCTATAAGGCACTGACAGACCTGCTGTGCACCCCGGAAGTGAGTCAGGAGCTGTATGACCTTAACGTGGAGCTTTCCAAGGTAGGCTACATGGCCAAAGAGAAGAAATGGGTTGAGACAGCAGGCCTGGCACTCACTTTACCTGGCCCAGTCTTGCCTGACAATTAAAAAAAGACGCTTTAGGCAGGTCACGGTGGCTCATGCCTGTAATCCCAGCACTTTGGTAGGCCGAGACGGGTGGATCATGAGGTCAGGAGATTAAGACCATCCTGGCTAACACAGTAAAACCCCATCTCTACTAAGAATACAAAAAATTAGCCGGGCGTGGTGGCGGCGCCTGTAGTCCCAGTTACTCGGGAGGCTGAGGCTTGAACCCGGGAGGCGGAGGTTGCTGTGAGCCGAGACCACGCCACTGCACTCCAGCCTGGGCGACAGAGCAAGACTCCGTCTCAAAAAAAAAAAAAAAAAAAAAAAAAAAAAAACCTATGGATGACATCAAATGAGGACTTACTGTACTTCATTCCTTTTTATGACTGAATAATATTCCATTATATCTATAGACCACATTTTGTTCATCTGTAATGGACACTTGAGTTTTTTCCATTTTGGGCTGTTATGACTAATGCTGCTATGAACAGTAGTGTTAGTGAACATAAGTTTTCATTTCTTTGGGGTACGTACCTAAGAGTAGAATTGCTAGGTCATAGAGTAACTCTATCTTTAACTATTTGAGGAGCTGTCGGGCTGTTTCCAAAGACTGGGAAACCAAGAGAAAGAAACTGAGCCCAGGACTTCTAGGAGTAGGAGTTAAGGGCGTAGGTCTGGAGTCAAAAAGATCTGAACTCAAATCTTTGCTCTGCCCTTTCTTAGCCATATGACCTTGAAAAGGCCACTTAGCCTCTCTGAGCCTCAATGTCCCCATCTGTAAAATGGGGATAGCAACAGTCCCAGCCTCATAGGGTGGCCATGAAGGTTAAGTAATGAGGCTCTGCGGGAGGGACACTCCGCACAGGGCCAGCACACAGTCATCTGTCATGCTCTCATCCCAGAATGAGAATCTGGGCCCACCCTGTGATCTTGGGTAGGTTGCTGTACCTTTGACAGCCTCGGTTTCCTCACCTATAAAACAGAGCAATGTAACTGCATCACTCCTGCCTAACCAGGGGAACCTGATGAGGCAGCTGCACGTCCACCCTTCTGAGAGCCAGGAGGCTCAGCCCATCTCATCTTCCTTCCTCCTTGGAGGCACTGGGGAGCCATGGAGGGTGTTGCAGGGAGTGAGGCTCACCATGCCCAAGAAGTCATTCTTGCCCACCATGTCCCAGTCCCAGAGCTCCACCCGCAGTGGGGACGGGGCACCTGGCATCTCCCGCAGCTCCAGCACTTCATCCCAGTGTGGGAAGCGAGTCTTCTTGATGGTCTGTGGGCGAGGGAAGTGGTCTGTGAGTGGGAGAGCTGATGGGGACCCCTGCCCCACCACCAAATGTCCCACTCCTTCCTGGTGTCATTCCCCATCACTCACTGAGGTCTCCAAGCTCTGGCTGCCCCAAAACACACGTGCAAATGGGTCAGATGTGCCAGAGATGTCTCTGGGAGCCAGGTCCCTGGGAACAGATGGGGAAAGGAGTGAGGGAACACGGCACCCGAGTTGGGCCTTGGAAAGGCTGTTAAGAGTATATCATTCCAATGTCGCTGGTTTCCAAGGAAATTAACTGTTCCATTGTAGGGGTCGGTCCAGCTGGGGACACCCCTAACCATGCCCGTCCAGACCCTGTATCTTCCTGTCACTGCCCTATGAGGAGGCACTTGTATATCCCTATTTTTCAGATGAGGAAACTGAGGCACCAAAAGGTCATATCCTACATCACAAAGCCCAGCAAGTAGAAGTGCAACGGGGAAGGGGAAGAAAGAGCCTCAGATTCTCTGGAGGCCCCAGATGGGAAAGTTGATGCAAAGGTTCAAAGCCTGGCTCTGTGCTCATTGGCTAGGG